TGTTCCAAGAGCTTACAACCCTCAACCTGAAAAAGTTTGCCCTCACGGTTTTCTGGACTTGCGGCTTCTTCAATCTTGAGCTGTGACCCCAGGGGCGAGCGTCCGCCAGCTCCAAGTAAGGACACTCAACTGAGTAGTGCCCTGGAGATGCTTATACACCTCAACTAGGTCCCCCCTTTGCCATTCCTTAAAAAACCCTTTAATTCATATTACGCTACATAACATTAAAATCCGCCTCGCTTATAGAATCTCAGAGAACGAGAAACCTTGATAAAGGATAACTCACCTACTCAATGTTACTGAATCATTTGTTGTATTGTACCCAGGTACGGTTATATAATATTAATTGTATGTATTTATAGCATTAAGGAGAACTCAAGGTATCCATAAGATGGTTGTGAGAGTCCAATTGATCCGGGCTAGTGTACGATCCGTGCTAGTGTAGTATCCGGGCTAAGGGTAGATCGTAGTTTGACGGTCATACTATTTACGTTCTGAATGTTTAGTGAACATAACTTCCGCAGATATCATATGAAAATACATGAGAACAATGATCTGGAAAAGGGATAAATGTGTATCAGAACTATGTGAGGTGTTGGAGGTGACCCAGACACTATACTGGAAAGGAAATATCTTGTATGCATCAGTGTGAACTGAATATACCTCGTATCCTCGGGTGACGTATACCCACGACATGTGCAGTGATCAGAGAATCTTATGTCTGTGTTCAAATAGTGCAATTTGTGAGAGGAGGATCCCTAATTACAGTTTTAAGTGAAGTGGATATACCCACGCCATGAACATTCGACTTTTGTTTCAAGGTGACGTCCTTTGTGCCCACCTCGAGTGTGCCGCGTTGATATTATAACCCAATGAATTTACCCACGAACTAGCAAACCAGAACCTTACCTTAGTGTGTATTTTAGGATTAAAATATGTGTTTATAAGACATGAGGTTACAATATACAGGAAAGTGTTCATGTGAGAACCGTAAGAAATAAAAGTAAAAATTAAAGATGGAAACTGTAGGCCTACGCTTTGAGGAGCGGCTGGGCACTGCCCTCAGTATCCTGCGTTCTCTCATCACCTAAGGTCAGTGAACTTCATCAGGCTCTATTCAGCCCTAAAATAAGAGACTTATATAGTAGTTATTACAGTTAAAGCTTTGCCTGATGTATAAGTGGAATAGTAATGTGTTAGGGTGTGTGATCACGGCCCATCAGGCATTATTTCTCAGTATCCTGCGTTCTCTCATCACCTAAGGTCCCACGCAGTCGGGAGAACCTTGCTGGGCGGCGGCCATTATCCCTGTTAGCGTCCCACCATGTGAAGTGACGACTACCAGCTATGCTATTCCACTGTGAACCTGTGGAATCCCAGCATACCACCCCAAAGGAGTAGGAATAAATAAGGAAAGGCTTGAGAAACTCCGCGGTCGTCACTTGGAGCGACCTATAATACCAGGCGTAGAAACAGTACTGGTATGCCTCTTGGTGAAACCCTCGTCTCTACCCACCGAGGGCGGTGTGGGAACGAGATGCCTGATATGTGTACCTAGAAATTACAAGGAGTCCCATACTTGCAGGTCTGGAGTATAACAGGTATTGTGAGCTGGTGCTACAGGGAGGTGATTTGGTGTTACTATGTATGATGACCTAAGGTGCTATATTTCATACAGGTGGAGCAGTCCGACGTGTTGAGTGATATTGTAAGAAGTGTAACGAAAATCATCGTTGTTCTTTTGAGGAAGGCCAACTCAGTTGTATTTTTTGTTACAGTATGTTTTATAAGGACTAAATTAGTTAAGACATATTATGGTTTCACTCTTCCTTCCCCTTATCGATCTGGTCAATGAAGAACCTAACCCAATGCCTAGTCCACTCTGCACGCTACCTAACTAGATACATACTGTCCAGAGGGGGTCTGGTGGCAGCAACCTTTAAAATTAAGACTTGAGTTAAGTTATTCCTTAGACTTAGTGACCCCAGAATCTGGCAGTATAATGGGACCAAAGGCATCAGGGTGTTCCAGCTTTGGTTTTGCACAGGATGTGGGTAGTTGGCCTTCGGCATGACTCATGACACACTCTATTAATGGCATTGTACAACAATGCTATAAATAGAGTGTGTCAGCACACGCCTTAGTAGTCTTACAATATTGTGACTTCTGTCTCTACCAGGGCAGTGGATCTAACTCAAGGAGAAAGCAGCGTTAAGTTCCCACCTAGTATAGTGGAACATCACACTCATCGTGTTGTTTGCTCAGCATAAAGTTGATGAGACATTGTCGTACAGACCAGGCATCAAGGTGTTTCGATTCCTAGTTGGCAACATGTTATAGCTAGAGACATGAACCCACTTCATTATTAGGTCATTCAATCAATTCAATTTCAATTGTTTATTCCTTGATAGAGTGAAGTGATCCTAGTGCTGTCACTAGGTACCCTTGTACAATAACACCAGAAGCATCTGGCAAGTGTGACAAGTATATACAGTATAAATATATTATAAAGGCTTACTAAAGCCTAAGGAAGGAAGGATTTTCCTTTAACACATAATCAATGTTATTTACATAATATCTGGTCAGTATGGAAGGGGATCATCGTGCCCCGTCAGTTGGTCGTGGAGTGGTGGTCCAGCAGGCGTCACGGAAGCGTTGTGTGTGGGGACATCTTAGTATTAGGTCATTATATTTTTGTAGGGTTTTTGGATGGGATTCGTGCCTACTGTGTTTACCTCTGATTGTATTTCTGTCTCTCTAGGCTTTGCTAAGGGGTGTGTGTTGGTTCAGGCTGTTGACACATTTTCCCCATGCATTTTGTCTACTGTATGTTCATTCGCACGCTCCCGGACTGCAGTGAGCGAAGCTTGAAACAGTTTTAGCATTTGAGGAGTCCTGTGTTATTTGTAATCCTCACCAGTCTGCCTGGTTATCGAGACATTGTTGATGAAGAGATTTTGGTAATTGTTAGGCTTGTAATCCCGGTACCAGTCATAAATGAAGTCTCTAAACTGTTTTTTTATGTTCTTTTTCTGACTGTGAGTCTATATTGCTTGTTAAGTTTTTCCACCAATAGGGGGGTGGCATTGGCTACATATATACTAAGGGGATTGGTTTGTAGTCAGACATAAGATCAGTAGCTAAATCGGGAGTCTAATTAGTGCTCAGTTCCTAAAGTAGGACAGTGGGTTCAGTATATAAGAAGAGATCTGTGTAGTGAAGCTGATCTGAGGGAGCCTAGGCGTTGAACACGTTCAGTATGGAGAGTGTTCCCATGATAATGAAAATGGTCGTTGGTAGTCCTTTTTGATACAAGAGGTACAAAACCTGTGGTAGAGAACAACGCCTGGCCATGTGCATGACTTCCATTGGCCTTACTGTTATCGTTGGATTATTGTCATACTCGATATCAACTGACAATAAAGTAGTAGTAGTAGTAGTAGTAGTAGTAGTAGTAGTAGTAGTGTGTATGTGTGAGAGAGCGAAACTAGTGAAGAATATGGAAAGGTGAATTTGTGCCAGATCATACGAGAGAAGCCATCGTCAATACCCTTTATAAAGAAAAAATGTTAATATGAATGATTTAGAAAATCATGAAGAACTTGTTATTTGAGTATAGCTGTTAAGATATGCGAAATAGTTTTGAGTGGCGGTGTGCAAAAATAAAATTCTTCCTGGTTTGCGAGGAAATGAATATATTTAGGAAACAAACAGTTCACGTACATCAAAATTTTCTTCTCTGACAGATTGTTGAAAAAGTTTTGGATTAATTTGTGTGAAGAATGTAGGAGGTGAAAGTTGAAACTGATCAAAAGTTATATTATATTTTTAAACATTAAGCAACGAATGTGACTGAAGGGAATAAAAGAGATAGAGGAATTTAGATTTTAGAGTTTTACGTGTAATAAGGTAGTAGTGGAAAAGCATACTCTAAGAATGCATTATCATAAGGAATAATAACAATTATAAATGAGCTGCAAATGTGTATCAAATTTGTGTGAAAAGGTTTATTTCCAACCGTATTATATTTTTAGAAGGTGAAAGATTATGCAGTAGACTGTAAGTCAGAAATGACAAAAATAAATATCAATTACTTGTGCGCTATCATCAAGATTAAGAGAAATGAGAAGAAAAATAATTTATTTTTATTTTTATTTTTTTTTTTTGTACGGGAATTAGCACACCCGGGCTCAGGTCATCGGCCCATAACGGTGCCCAGGGGGCTAAACAAATAAGAATAGAAAGAAAATAAAAATAGAAAAGGAAAAGATTATATTAATCTACATCACGAAGATGCCGAATTAGGTATGAAACCCCCTCCCCCCCCTCAAATATAGAGTATGGAAGATTTTATGACGGACAGGAAAGGTTGACAGAATAGACTATCGTACAGTAAAATAAGGAAGGGATAGGGGCAGACTACATAGGAGAGGAGCAGTAGAGTGAGTTACGAAGGTGTTGTGATATGTTTAGGGGAGTATCACAGGAATATGATAAGACCTCATACGAGTATAAAGTGGAGAAATATTGCTTAAATATATAGTACAAGGAATATAGAAGAGGGCTTCATAAATTAATTAGTGTGATATATAAAGCCTCCTCTCTGTCTCTCCCTAGCTGTAACTTTCAGTGGCGAGCTAACGAGGGGACATTACGTGCCCAAAAGTCGTAATGAAATAATTCTTAAGGAAGTGAAGTCTTACTAAATATTATTATTAAAAATGCGAAATAAGTTTTAATACCTGTTCTGTTATATATAGATCTACTGACGACTGGAAAGTCACCATAACGTGAACAACAATGTAAGAGAAAAATCCCACAATGGCAGACGAAATATTATTTCCAAACAATCGTTCTACTCGGCCAGTCCTTATCTGTAACTCCACTGAGTAGGGCGACAGTTGATGCCGAAACTGTTTAAAATAAACATTTCACCTGCCATTGTGTTTTTTCTCTTCTCTTATATTATATGGATCTGTTCAATCCTTGTTATTTGATAGGAACTTTCTTGTGATTTACTTGCAGGCAAGCCTAGTGGTTGTGGTGGTGACGGTCCAGCAGGTCCATCTGGTTCTCCAGGTAAAAGTGGTCGTCCAGGTAAACCTGGTCCTGCAGGCCAACCTGGTCATGACGGAACTCCTGGCCTTCCCGGTTCTCCTGGCCCTACTGGTAATCGTGGCCCTGCCGGTTTACCTGGCCCAGATGGTGCTCCTTGCGTTGCAGGACCTGCTGGTCCTGTAGGTCCTGCAGGCCCTCCAGGTCCTGCAGGTCCCACTGGTTCCCCAGGTTCTAAAGGTGTTCCTGGAGATAAAGGCCCTGCAGGCGGGGTAGGTGGTAAAGGAGCTGTAGGTGATAAAGGTATACCAGGGGATACAGGTCCTGCAGGTCGGATAGGTCCTACAGGCCCTGCAGGTCCTAAAGGTACTGCAGGTCCTGCAGGTCTTCCACGTTCTAAAGGTATGCAAGGAGAAACAGGACCTGTAGGTCCTGCAGGTGCTAAAGGTATGACAGGTAATACAGGTCCAACAAGCCCTACAGGCCCTAAAGGTCCTGTTCGTAATAAATGCATGACGGGAGATAAGGGCATGAAAGGGGATAATGGTGGTAAAGGCATGCAAGGGGATAAAGATGATAAAGGTGGTGTAGGTGATAAAGGTGGCGTAGGTGACAAAGGTGGTGTAGGTGATAAAGTTGGCGTAGGTGGTAAAGGTGGTGTAGGTGGCAAAGGTGGTGTAGGTGATAAAAGTGGCGTAGGTGATAGAGGTGGTGTAGGTGATAAAGGTGGCGTAGGTGATAAAGGTGGTGTAGGTGATAAAGGTGGTGTAGGTGATAAAGGTGGTGTAGGTGGTAAAGGTGATGAAGGTGATAAAGGTGATGAAGGTGATAAAGGTGGCGGAGGTGATAAAGGTGGTGTAGGTGATAAAGGTGAGTATAAAGGCATGTGATAAAGGTATGTAGGTGATAAAGGTGATTAAGGTGGTGTAGGTGATAAAGTTGGTGTAGGGTGGTAAAGTTGGTAGGTGGTAAGGTGGTGTAGGTGATAAAGGTGATTAAGGTGGTGTAGGTGATAAAGTTGGTGTAGGTGGTAAAGTTGGTGTAGGTGGGTAAAGTTGGTGTAGGTGGTAAAGGTGGCGTAGGTGATAAAGGTGATTAAGGTGGTGTAGGTGATAAAGCTAGTAGGTGGTAAAGTTGGTGTAGGTGGTGGTAAAGGTGGTGTAGGTGATAGCGTGATGAAGGTGATAAAGGTGGTGTAGGGTGATAAAGGTGGTGTAGGTGATAAAGGTGATGATGGTGATAAAGGTGGTGTAGGGAATAAAGGTGGTGTAGGTGATAAAGGTGGCGTAGGGTGGTAAAGGTGGTGTAGGTGATAAAGGTGGTGTAGGGGTGATAAGTAGGGTGGTAAAGGTAGAGAAGATAAAGGTGATTAAGGTGATGAAGGTGATAAAGGTGGTAGGGTGATAAAGGTGGTGTAGGTGATGGGAAGTAAGTTAAGATAAAGGTGGTGTAGGGGTTATAAAGGTGGTGTAGGTGATAAAGGTGGGTGTAGGTGATGCGTGTAGGTAAAGGTGGTGTAGGTGATAGTGGTGTAGGTGATAAAGGTGGTGTAGAGGTGATAAAGGTGGTGTAGGTGATAAAGGTGGTGTAGGTGATAAAGGTGATGAAGGTGATAAAGGTGGCGTAGGTGATAAAGGTGATTAAGGTGGTGTAGGTGATAAAGTTGGTGTAGGTGGTAAAGTTGGTGTAGGTGGTAAAGGTGGTGAGGTGATAAAGGTGATTAAGGTGGTGTAGGTGATAAAGTTGGTGTGGGGTAAAGTTGGTGTAGGTGGTAAAGTTGGTGTAGGTGGTGGTGGCGTAGGTGTGATAAAGGTGATTATGGTGGTAGGTGATAAAGTTGGTGTAGGGTGGTAAAGCTGGTGTAGGTGGTAAAGGGTGGTGGGTGATAAAGGTGATGAAGGTGATAAAGGTGGTGTAGGTGATAAAGGTGGTGTGAGGTGATAAAGGTGATGATGGTGATAAAGGTGGTGTAGGGAATAAAGGTGGTGTAGGTGATAAAGGTGGCGTAGGTGGTAAAGGTGGTGTAGGTGATAAAGGTGGTGTAGGTGATAAAGGTGGCGTAGGTGGTAAAGGTGGTGTAGGTGTGATAAAGGTGATTAAGGTGATGAAGGTGATAAAGGTTGTGTGGTGATAAAGGTGGTGTAGGGTAAAGGTGTTAAAGGTGATAAAGGTGGTGTAGGTTATAAAGGTGGTGTAGGTGATAAAGGTGGTGTAGGTTATAAAGGTGGTGTAGGTGATAGGGTGGTGTAGGTGATAAAGGTGGTGTAGGTGGTGTGTGGTGTAGGTGATAGTGGTGTAGGTGATAAAGGTGGTGTAGGTGATAAAGGTGGTGTAGGTGATAAAGGTGGTGTAGGTATAAGGTGGTGTGGTGATAAAGGTGGTGTAGGTGATAAGGTGGTGTGTGTGGTAAAGGTGGTGTAGGTGATGGTGGTGTGGGTGATAAAGGTGGTGTAGGTGATTGTGGTGTGGGTGATGGGGTGGTGTGGGTGATGGTGGTGTTGGTGGTAGAGGTGGTGTAGGTGATAAAGGTGGTGTGGGTGATGGGGTTGTGTGGGTGATAAAGGTGGTGTAGGTGGTAAGGTGGTGTGGTAAATAAAGGTGGTGTAGGTGATGGTGGTGTAGGTGATAAAGGTGGTGTGGGTGATAAAGGTGTTAGGTGATAAAGGTGGTGTAGGTGATGTTGGTGTAAGTGGTAAAGGTGGTGGGTTTGTAGGTGGTGTAGTTGATGTGGTTGGTGTAGGTGGTTATGGTGGTGTGGGTGGCAGATGTTGGTGTGGGTGATAAAGGTGGTGTGGTGATAGAGGTGGTGTGGGTGATAAAGGTGGCGTAGGTGATAAAGGTGGTGTGGGTGATAAAGGTGGTGTGGGTGATGGAAGGTGGTGTGGGTGGTAAAGGTGATGAAGGTGATTAAGGTGATGAAGGTAGTAAAGGTGGCGGAGGTAAAGGTGTGGTGTGGGTGATAAAGGTGGTGTGGGTGATAAAGGTGATGAAGGTGATAAAGGTGGTGTAGGTGATAAAGGTGGTTAGGTGGGTGTAGGTGATAAAGTTGGTGTAGGTGGTGAAGGTGGTGTAGGTGATGAGTTGGTGTGGGTGGTAAGGTTGGTGTAGGTGTAAGGTGGTGTAGGTGATAAAGGTGGTGATGGGTGATAAGGGTGGTGTAGGGTGATAAAGGTGGTGTGGGTGATAAGGTGGTGTTGGTGATAAAGGTGGTGTAGGGAATAAAGTTGGTGTAGGTGATAAGGTGTGTAGGTGGTAAAGGTGGTGTGGGTGATAAAGGTGGTGTAGGTGTTAAAGGTGGTGTATGTGGTGGTGGTGTAGTTGTGGTAGAGGTGATTAAGGTGATGTGGGTGATGGTGGTGTGGGTGTTGATGGTGGTGTGGGTGGTGGATGTGGTGTGGGTGATGGTTGTGTTGGTGATAAAGGTGGTGTGGGTGATTTAGTTGATGGGTGTTGAGTTGGTGTTGGTGGTTGGTGTTGAGGTGGTGAAGGTGGTGTAGGTGATAAAGGTTGTGGGTGATAAAGGTGGTGTAGGTTATAAAGGTGTTGGGTGGTAAAGGTGGTGTGGGTGGTAGGGGTGGTGATGGTGGTGGTGTTGGTGGGTGATGGTGGTGTGGGTGGTGGGTGGTGTGGGTGATGATGGTGGTGTGGTTGTGGTGGTGTGGTGGTTGGTGGTGTAGGTGATAAAGGTGGTGTGGTGGTAAAGGTGGTGTG